CGGTTCAGTGTATTTCTAGAGGTATTTGGGGATTAAGTGTTATTATTTACTCCTAGCTGTATCTACTTTCAGTGTCTATTTGTGCCGCAGTCTGGGAATTCCTGCAGTTTCAGGAATTACTTTCGACACACGTCACAGAGCGGGCATGAAACTGCTGCATCCAGCTGGGGGTGTTACATGCAGGTGGACCAGGTGTGCACAAGAATAAGAATGCTGGGATGTCCTAGTCAAGTTTGGTTTTGCCTGAGAGCCCGATCCGTGTCGTCTGATTGTCTGCCAGCACAAGTCTTAATTACACTCTGCTGTATTTTCATATGCAGCACAGCAGCACGGTGCACGTTGGGCCCAGTGAAGTCAAGCTGGATGCTTCAGCCCAGTATCACACATTCCTGAAGGGGCTTCCAATTATATTTTGTATTGTTTGCCAAAGTATTATTAAAATACCCATAACATGGGAGAGGATTGTCTAGTGGTGATACATCGAGTCAGTTAATCAGTTCAGTCACCTGACAGAAAACTAATCGTGATAGTCACTATCAGTTAATCTGTTGATTCTTAATTTGGTCTGCAGTGATCAATGCCCTTTTCAGCTTCCTCTCTGCTGAAGTCAATATTCACATTGGTCTGGACAGTTGTTCAGACAAACCAGACAATTAGAGGACGTCGTCTTAGACTCTGATCTTTGAACTCAGTAGCTGAAAAAGATGAAGTTCATTTTTAGCTGGTACATGTGAGAAATGTTGCTTTTCAACCCACAGATTTGCGGAAGCTTCCTGTTGGTGGAAGCAGTATTATATGACGCTGCTTTCTCTTTGTCCTGTTTGTTGTTGTTACTGTGGTCACTCTGTTGCTCACACGTGCACGTTACTTGGGTTCAGTGGTTTACAATAAAGGTTTTGAAATGGATCAGATTATTCATTCTGACTGGGATCCATGTAAGTTTTGGGAAGTATGCCTGCTTTCTTACCAGAGTGTTCCTTTAAAGACGACTGGCCTGGCACTGCTTTGTCACCAAACACCAAGGTAACAATAACACACAGGGTGAGCTAAGGTGTGGATTTTTCCTCCAAGCAGCTGCTGAGTCTCTGAGGCACAAAGTGAGTTCCAGTCTGTGTGAGCAGTTCTGGGCAGCAGTAAAGAAAAGACTTTGTGAAGCTTGTTTCTGCTTCAGGAAGCCTCCGCCTGCTTGAAAACAAAACCGAAGTGGCAGGAGAACAGAGGACAGAGCTGTTGTTGACGCTGCGTGCCGCTGGATTGTTGGCTGGATTGTTGGCTGGTGTGGAGCTTCACTGGAGGGTGGAGATATGCTGATACTGGGCCAATAGCCAGGTTGTATCTGTGCTGAAGAACTTCCCCTGTCAAATGCCAGGAGTTAATGGATAATGCTACCGATACTCTGTATTTCATATAGTCAACACATCCACAGCTTAAAGATGCCCACAGCAAATGCAGTTTCCTCCTGTTTCAGTAGGAACTGCTAAAAACTCCAGTGACCATCTTTTGTAGGGAGGTGCTGCGTGGGCTTCAGCTGACACTGAATAATACAGTTTGCATTTTGGTATTTTTATATATTTATATTTGTTGGCAAACATATAAAACATGAACCAGCTTTATCCAAGAAGTAATCTCCACAATAAACCACACAAAACCTGCACAGGCCTGTGCGAGACCCTGATTCACACCCTGTTAATTCAGAGTAACAACCTAAATTGACACAATATTGGAAAAGTAAAGCAGAACCTTTATAATGATCACCTATAATTATAATGATCGGGATTGACGTCAGCGGTGAAAACGAGGTAATCTGCCTGTTTGCTGAAGTGGGAGCATTCCTTTGGCTGCGGCGCGTTGAGCTGTATGCAGCAATAAAAAGATTCATTATAAAGTTCAGGAAATTTCAGGAAAATATTGGAACATTAATTAAGTCCTGTGAACATTAATTTTGATGATGCTATGTAGAAGTGCCTTAGACGGGTTAGAACGAGTCCGGAGAGAGAGAAGAAGGCCCGTTGGTCATTGCAGCTTCTTATAATTATTTGTGAAATGATTTATTACAGTTGCTGTTTGTCGGCACTTAAGATGTACCACTTCATTTTAAGTGCCTATGCAAACGCAGCCTTGACTTCGGAGATCACCATGGTTACAGGCGACAAGCTGTAAATGAGGTCAAAGGTCAAAGCTGCACAGGTTGCATGCTGGCTGGGAGCTGCGAAGCCGTCTGGTTGCGTTTAAACGGAATCTCCTCGGTGAAAGCTCAGACGGTCGTGGTGCTCTGGACACAATCAGCTGCTCGGGTCTGAAGCCACTCATCTGTGTGAGCTGGTCTCTCTCCTGCTCTCCCTAGTAACAACAGCCTCTATTAGCGAGGCTCCTCCACTACACAGAGAGCTCATGATTGGTCTATATTTTTATATCTAATTGCTGGAGATGAACAGCAGTGAGTGAGTGCCTGGGTGTTTCAGGTGGTGGGTGTAGGACTGAAATCTGTGGCAGTGTGTTAAGTCGCAGCGAGACTCGGGAAATCAGGACAGCGTGAAAATGGATTCTTAGTGGGTCTTACCTTGCTTGCTGCAGCATCAAACTGCAGCAGTTAGATGATGATATTAAAATACACAAATGTATATTTAATTTCATGTAGTTGATATGCTGAAGATAGTATTTAATCACTTTAGATGTCAAAATCAATGAAAGGTTAGCTGTTATGAACACCTGAAGGACACGCTGTGTTTTTTTAGTTTTACTGTTTTCTGTTAACCACGTGATCACATGCATGTTGTGTTATTTCACGTCACAAACATAAGAATAGGGCTCAGGTGTCTGTTGCCTGTTGCAGCTCTGCTTCACAATGTCACCCAAAAGAGAAGGAAGCACATTTAGACAACAGGAGGTGTCTGTTAATTCATTTAGGGAATGATTTCTGCCATAGAGGCTATTTTATGAGAACTCTGGTTCTCTTAAACTGATCGTTTTGAGCTGTAATCACACAGAATGTGAGATTAACTGTTGAGACACTGTGACACGAGTCAGTGGAAAAGTGAACTGACATGAATTTGTTTAGTCAACTTCAACCAAAAATGTGTACGTAGCTTAAATCTGCTTCATAAACAGAAACTGGAGGAGAAAGACTGCACCATTGTCCCTGTCAAATGGAAGCCATGTACCTCCAGTTCTTCCTATGTAAATAAACCTGAAAAGCCATTGAATTACATAAAACGTGCACTGTCACCAAAGCTAAAACTGAGTGGCAAACTGAAATGATGTCACAGGACATTGTAAATTTCATCTCAGCCATGAAACAAAACATTTTGCCTTGCATTTGTCAACAGACCTGGTTGTAGCTTCCACTGGCCACTGCAGAGGCTTCAGGGGCGGATTTGAACCGTTAACCCTGGATGTTGTGGTGCTTTGCTCAACCCGCTGATGACAACACCTTGGGCAGTGAAGAAGGCTCCGGGTCGCTCTCTGTGCTGACAGCTGCCACAGCAGCATAGCCTGCTGGGTGACCGTGCTTCTTTTCCCCTAGATCAAACTAAAGAGTCTTTCCTATGTTGCCCTTCCTCGTCTGTTCCTCGTCTCTTATTATTTCCGGCCTGGCTCCGATGGAGTTGGGGCTGGATATCCTGTGAGGGGGAGGTGGTGGGGGGAGAGGGAGCCGGGGACAGAAAAGCACTTCACGAGCAGGAAAACTGAAAAAGCATTTCGTTTATCAAGCCCTCGCAGACCTCTCTCCTACACCCTCTGATTGTGTTAGCTTAATTTTCCTGTTCTTGTCCCTTTTACCTCTACTGTTTTTCTTCTTCCACATTCTTGGTGGGCGAGATTGAGACGTCTGAGCAGAGGTTACACCTTTCCTCTGAGCTTTGTGAACAACGGCCATTCTTCGAAGGCCCGTGGATGGTCTAGTCTCACTAAACACCAGGTTGCTGGGTCAGACCTCATAAGTGGCGAAGTTTGGTTGCTTTGACCTTCCTGTCACACTGACCTGTTGACTGTTTATTCTGTAGATGACCATTCTCTGAAACATTCCCCTGAAAGAGTGACTGTCCAATCACAGTCAATTAGCTAGTTACAGCTGATCAAACCACTGGCACTTGTCATTTCTGCACGCATACAGACAAACGTATGTTACAAACAAAGACACTCCGACAGCATTAAAGACCAGTGTGTAAAAATATGTTTTAAGGCTTGAACTAAAACCGGTAGTGAAGTTGCCTTTCTAATCTATAAAGGAGGCTCATTCCAGAGCTTTGGGGCTACAACGGAAAAACATGATCTCCTCAATTTTTTTAGATTTAGGAAGAACGTGGGGGTTATAAGACGTTTGTCTTTGTCTTTGTTTAGATGACGAGCTGCTGATCGAGCGCAGCATCCACAAAGGCATGCTCAACCCCGGAGAGGAGAAGCAGACTGTGGAGTATAAAAGCCTGATTGCAAGCCTTGAGTACACAATACGTGTGCGCTGCGATGAACACTACTTCGGCAACAAGTGCAACAAAGTTTGCCGTCCCCGTGACGACTACTTCGGCCACTACGTTTGTGACCAGTTTGGAAACCAAGGCTGCATAGAGGGCTGGACGGGGCCCGAGTGCAAAACAGGTGAGTCAGTCTGTGAACACATACAGCAGCGCACAGGTCACCATGAAATAGTGTCTTTCTTTTTGACTTTTAATGAAGAATACCAGATTTTTAATGCTAGCACATCGGATTGAGATTCTTGTAAGATAACAGGCAGTAAAGGGTTATCAGGTGAATCAAAAATCAAACTGACATCAGCTAAATAGAAAAAAGAAGCAAACAATCTGAATCAAACTAGAGTTAGTTGACTCTTCTGTCTTTTAACAGTCCATAGTATTGTTCAGTTCTTTAGTTAATTAAGGGTACTATTCATTGTGGTGATCAGATATATCTTTGGCCTGGATAAATACCTTTTACTGCCTTTTTGTCCTTTGTTGAGGCTCCGACACTGACAGTTCAGAAAATACCTCTAAAACCAATAAATGAAGCGACAGAAAATAAAGATTTGTTGCTAATCTTCTCTAATTATGAAGGGAAGCAATAAATGGTTAAACAACATTGGGATTGTGCTGCAAATTAGTGTTTTTAAAATCTTAACATATATGAATTTTTGTATTAGTCACATATGTTGATTTTAGCCCTTAGCTAAGAGTCAAAGCACACATCCAGTAAATGCAGTATTCAGCACTACACACTTAAAATTCCTGTTTTCACTTCCTCACTGCCTTTTTCGGGCAACCTCAGGATGTTCATCAAAGCTGATGTCAAGTGTCACTTTGCAAGCAGCCGAAGAATGTCTGAAACCTTCATCAATGCTGGAGACACCTTCACCTTGACACCTTGTTACTCACACAAGAAAACACAGGAAATTAGATTTTAATAAATGGAAACGGAGCCAGACAAAGGTCCAGAGTCAATTCAGTGTTAAAGTATATTGTGAGAGGATGCTTGTGTCAAAGTTTGGACAGGAACTAATACGAACATGTCACTTTCTTTCTCATTTCCTTCCCAATAGCCATCTGCAAACAAGGATGCAGCGTCCTGCATGGAACGTGCAGCGTGCCAGGAGAATGCAAGTACGTCTTCAGCTCTGGTTGTGTTTTTGTTTGTTTGCTCCACTTTGCTCACCTCAGAGAGCTAAAATATGATCTCGTTTGGATGAAACCCCCATCCGAGGCTCACTGTGGTGACACAAGAGCGATGAAGGGGTGAGGGTGGTGTTGATAACATACCAGGCAGCCTAACCCTTTACTCCCCCACCGTGCTAGTTGTGGTGCCACCCCACCTCCATCCCTCAGCTCCACTGTGATCCAGAAGCCATTGTTTTTGCTTCCTGTTCTAAAGCTGGCCTGCTCCCCCCCCCCACACACACACACAGACACACACACATAGAGGGAGAGAGGTGTGTTTTTGTTGTTTCCTCCTCTAGCAGCAGAGAGGTACTGTGCCCATCCACCCCCCTCTGATGTCTGCAGCCCACATCACCTCTTCCTACTCTGGGTCTTGTTGCATGTCTTATAAATGGTTATACTTTGAAGTACTATAAATAGTACTGGTTAGCTTATGAATTTACAACTGGGCAGCAATAAAGTCTGGAGATTCTGTCATGCTTTACATTATGTGTTCATGATGTTATTCTGAAAAGTAGCTAATACATAACTGAAGTTTTGAAATAAATTCAGCGCAGTAAAAAGTACAGTACTTGCCTCTGAAATATAGTAATACTCATGTGAAGTGCAAATACCTGAACATTGCACTTAAGTACAGTGTTTGAATAAATGTACTTAGTTACTTTCCACCACTGGACATGACTGCATGGTGGGCTAAAATGTGGGCTACACTTTAAAAAGGCCGACCTGGTTATCTGTTGTAGCAGCTACAGTATGCGACACACACACACACACACACACACATTGCCAACAGCAGTGGCAGAGCAGGGAGAGGTGAGTGTTTCATTCAGAGGCAAGTTTGGTTCAGCTTAGATCTGGCTGAAAAATATCAGGCTGACATTTCTCCTTGGAATTGGCCGGAGGATTGGAAGCGAGAGGAACACCCTGGAATGTGCCTCAACATGTGATTGTGAGCTTCATCACAGTCAGCAGCACACACACGTACGCACACTGCAGAGAAGAGATGGATCCAGAGAATAAGACCTTGTTTGTTTATGGTTTTACATTGTCAAAGCTGACACTAAGTTTCGGGTGCAGAAGGGGCTTAGGTCTCTTTCAGAGCTATAAAGAGACACAAGCAGGCAGATGAACAGGGTAGTCGAACGTAACTGGGAGAAGACATAAACAGTAAAATGATTATAGGTCACAGACCGACTCTGTGCTTCAACTCTGACCTACTGTCCTACTCTGCACACGGTTTGTATGTCCAGTACTGCCAACGTTTCACTTTGGTTTTTATTTCCAAATAACGTGGTTTAGTTGGAATACCAAAGCAGATGGAAAGGCTTTAAATGTGGGGAGAATCACTTCTGCGTTATCTAGATCAAGCCAAATCATGGGTCATGGATTATATAACTGGAGCTATGAAAACCAAATTTCACTCCTAGACTTGGAAATAGTTGTTTGGCAAACTAAGTAGAGAGCTGTGTCAGAGCTGATAGGAATGAGTGACAAAAATGACACAGTTATAACATACAGTAAACAAAGTCAGTTTGATGTCAGAGGGAAATAAACTGGAGGCAAACGGAGAAACAAGAGACTGAAGGGTTAAAGAGAGAGAAGCAGGACGGAGAGAGAAACAGGAAAAAAGTGTCTGAGCCTGGCAGAGTGAAACTAAAAATGTGTTTTTGGTATCTTGTTTCTTACACACAGCACATTCACAACCTACGCTCCCTCATGTGACACTACTAAACATGTAGCTAGGCAACAGCGGGCTAAGTCTGTCCGCTGGATTTGGGTACGAGCCTCGCCTGTAAATAATTCAGAGGTCCCCCCCCCACACACACACACTAACTGCCCCCTCTACCTCTGCCCCTGCCCACCATCCTGTCCTCTGGGTGTGGTTTGTCTGAGGGGCAGCAGAGGGGTGGGCGTTGTGGGCAAGGCGGGGTATTTTCAGCTTTTGCTGGCCCCCTTGGCCCCTTCCATTGATAGGATGGCAGCAGCTCGGTGATGGGGCTTGTGGGTAATGCCGCCCTGGGCTTGTGGCTGCGTAAAGCCATTTCCCTGCTCTCCCACACTGCAGCCAGACAGACTGTCCACGCTGCCACCACTGCCGCACGGCTGACACTGTGCAGGGCACCACAGCCGACCGCAGCGCCGGACAGCACCACATACTGTAGTAAACAATGCATGCACACACACGCACACACACACACATATAGGCAGGCTTTGCGTACCGAGTGAGATCAAATTAAAGTTGTTGCTTGCGTGCAGTTAAAGCCGTTTCAGCTTACAAATAGTGCATGTTTTAACATAACCAGAACTTGGTCCTGGCTGCATTTTTATTATGTTAATCTTTGATAATCACTGTCTGATAAAAGAACCCCACCCACGCTGAAATTCCAAACTCACAATAGGTGTTTTAAACAAGCCAAGTCATAAAAATCTAACAAAAAAACCACACATCTTCCATCTGAGGCACAAACTCGTTCCTCTGTCACACCCCCTGTGAAGGGTCAGCTCATGTAAGTTATACAAACATCTTCGTGCTGAAGAAATTGTCCTGTCAAAGTGGACATTGTCCTCTCTAGTTACTCACACGGTTCCTGGAAAAAGATGTTTGCCTTGAATTTTTTATTGCCGTTTTCAGTGCTTCAAGCACTCCAAACAAAATTCCTCACCCCTGCTGTGTTGGGGAGGAGGCTGATATCTCAAAACCAAAAACTATCTGCACAAACAGGAAATATTAGAGATACGGGCGAAAATATGTTCTTTGTAATTTGGAAGAATCAATTAAAAAGTTTTAAATCGAAATTTGTATCCTCACAGCCTTCAGCAACCAAACTTGGCGTATGTAAAGTTGGGAAGACTATTTAATGGATTGCCCTGAAATTTGCTACAGACATTCGAGGACCCTGGAGGATCTGTTTTCATGACTTCAGTGATATTTTGACTTTACGTCTAGTGCCATCATTTGGGCAGCATTTCAAAGCATAAAACTAATGATGTTCAGGTCAGCCTCAGCTGCACTAGTACAAATTAGAAACTGTTGCTATGCTAACAGGTTAAACTCACATAGTGACCCTGGTAAAAATGCTAAACATCAGTATGTTAGCATTGTCACTGTCAGCATGTAGCCTGCAGATGTTAGCGTTTAGCTCACAGCACAGACTCACAGAGCCTCTAGTATGTTTGTAGACTGAGACCTTGGTTTTTGATAGTGGTGATACAACACCTGAGTGTTGGTACCAATGTTGAAACAATCAGTTTTACAGTTCTGTAGCACAGACTCATGCTGGTTGATTCCAAAAAAGGACTGAGGTTCAGTGCCCAGCCCCACTAGCAGCGCTGTCGCTGTCCTCACCTACAATACATTACAGCTCTGTACAGAGCAGTGCATCACTGCTGGTAAGAGAAGCGTTTGGTTGGCATTTATTTTGAAGTGTTCGTCAGGCAGAGTGGAGGGAGGGTGATGGTGTTAGTGGCGGGGTGCTCCCTAAAATAGCCCCCGGCAGAGAAATGACAGGACAGGTGGGGCAAGGTTGCCACTGGCCTTGGAATAACAGTGTGCTGCCATAAACCAACAGATTAGTTAACCCCCCCGAGACAACTAACCGTCGTTACACAAACACAAAGCACCACTCATTCCAAGGCTGACCTCGACCAAGCTCACGACACTAGAAGAGAGCTGAAAGAACCCACATGCAACACACACAGCAGGTCATTTCTGTACTGGAGTCCTGGAGGTCTAATTTAAGAAGTGCTGAAACAATTAGTAAATGGCAATATTGCAGACACAGTGATTGTTTATGTAAGTTGCTCAAAATGACAAAATCTAGTTTCAGCTTTTTTACTTTGTCATTAAAAATTGAAAATTTGGGGGGTTGGCTGATGATCAAGAAATTTATTTTACTGTTTGCAGCCACTAAACTTGTGTCCATCCATCCATTATCTCTCATCTCATCTCATTATCTATACCGCTTATTCCTGAACTGAGACAGAGCCAATCCCAGCTGACGCTGGGCGAGAGGCAGGGTCCACCCTGGACGGGTCGCCAGTCTATCACAACCACACACACCCACACTCACTCCGACAGCCAGTTTAGTCACCAGTCAGCCTCAGCTTGGACTGTGGGAGGAAGCCAGAGCACCTGGAGAGAACCCACACAGGCACAGGGAGAACATGCAGACTCCACACAGGAAGGCACCGGGGCTTGAACCCAGAAACGCACCTCTGTGCCACCACCAAACCTAAGTTTAAAATATAATTTTCTAGAAAAGTCTGGAAGACAAGGTGATTTCTACTTAAAACATGTTGAAATATTCTTAATTGACTGGTAGATTTGATCAAATTTTAATGAAAAGAAACTTTGCAGGACTCAATTAAGGACAAAAATGGTCGGATAAGTAACATGACTGGACGCACGCACACACGCAAACACACTTGTTGCTCAGAGATGTTCCCCCCGATGCTGCATGTCCTATGTTTAGCAGCTGCAGCCAACGTGTCATTCACT